CCGGTATCGCGGAGGTCACGGGTTCGAATCCCGTTGAAGCCCCGATTTTTTTCAGGCTTCTTCTTTCCAACTGCTTAAATTGGAAAATTTTCTGCGATGATCATTCTTCACTTTCAGTATTCGCAAATGTTCAAATGAAAAAATTATGCGGGGAGAGCTCTTCAGTAGTTAGGGAGGAAGTCGACAAACACTGAGAAACTGGGGCTGCTTTTGGGAAGCCGCACCGGGCTCGGAAGCCTCGCCCGGGCGAGGCTTCCGAGCCCGGTGCGGCTACCCAAGTAGTCGCACAAGTTTGCTGGTATTTGTCGACGTCCTCCCTTACTACTCAATGTAATACTCTTGGAGACCGATTTTTTGTCATCTGTGTGTAGATGCAGCCTCTGATTCTGAAAGTCCCATAATTAAATACTTGCCACTCCTTTTCTAAAGAAAAGCAAAAAGTTAAGGTGATCTCTTGAGCAGAAACAAAAGTTGATGAACAATTGTTTTGAAACTTTCCCTGATTGTTCCCTACCGAGCACTGTTTCGAAAAATACAATAAAAAGGAAAGGTCATCATGCGCGCTTAACAGATATGATGGGCCGATCTCACCCCATTTATATGCCTAACCACACGCGTTATTTCATCAGTTCACGTTATATTTTGCGGTAGCTGGGGCCTGTTTCTCGAAGGTCCCGAAGTGTTTTCGCAACCGGAAAGCCGTAGCAAACTCTTAAACCTTATGATTACGGAGCTGTTTTATTCACTTACATATTGTTTTTACGAACAGGTTCTCTTCATACAAGAAGTTTCAGGCGTATACACCTCTCTGTTTTTAGATACAGATTAGTTAAAAATAGCTTTGCAGGCCGAAAAAGTTTCCAGGGCTTTCGAGAAACGGGCCCCTAGAAGCAAAAGTTATTAGAGCAAGACTTGAAAAAAAATATTGATAAGTGGAAAGTCTCTGGTAATTGGAGCAATGTAATATGTAATTTATGAAAAAATCACACAGTTCTAAACGACATTGACTCAAAACGTTCCTCGAATCGTTGTTTTCGAGGTCATAGTTCGCATCCTAGAGAAACGGTTTTGTGCACTCTTTTAGCTATATCTTTTTCTTTACAATTTGTACACAAAAGTTATGCAAAAAAATCTAGGTCAACGAGGGAAAACGAGCATTTATTTCGCTGTCGAGCTTAGTTTGAGGAAATTTCGTAGGTTGTGTACCTACACTCCCTAAAAATAGTGCGCAGTAGGGATGCGCAGTGCAATACCAAGGAATCACCTTAAAATTCTTTGGCCCTGTTTTTAAATTCTCACTAATTAACAACGAGATTATGAGCTCTAACCCGAAGCCAGAGCTAACCGGAAGCTCAAAAATTCGTCAGGTCCGGTTGCTACGGGGTGATGTCATTTATCTGTT